GAGCACACCCTCATGCAGAGCACACCCTCATGCAGAGCACACCCTCATGCAGAGCACACCCTCATGCAGAGCACACCCTCATGCAGAGCACACCCGCATGCAGAGCAAACCCTCATGCAGAGCACACCCTCTCACTGCATATTTATTTGGAAACCAAACAAAAAACCAACCCAGAGACAAGCAAACACAATGATGACCTTTTGTTAAGTGGGCACAAAGTTGGAAAATAAAATTGCATTTGAGTATTTAATGGGGTTAGGAGCAGAGTGAGCTAGCTATGGGGAGAGAGACTGCACCCTTATTGTGGAAATTACACGACCATATGTGAATGGAAACTCCATCCAACAGTCTGGATGAGACGGCCCGAGGTCCCAGCTGGGCTTTGCTTGGGGACTAAGAAGCAACAGCAAGGGGCAGGAACATGCATGCATGTGTGTGCACAAGCACACACCCACACACCCTTGAATACACGCCACTCCCTCCATACACACAAACATACACATAAATATGCTCTTACTCCCCCATGCTTGAACACATCCACACTTCCTTTCACATACATACATACATATATATATATTCATGCACACACAACTGAACACACACACACTCTTACTTACCCTTGAATACACACATGCTTGAACACACACTCCTTACATGCACACACATATTTGAATACACACTCCTCATGTGCACACACATATGCCTGAACACACTCTTCACATGCACACACATATGCTTGAATATCACACTTCTCACATGTACACACATACATTTGAACACACATTCCTCACATGTGCACACATGTTTGAACACACACTCCTCATGAGTATACACATAGGCTTCAACACATTCCTCACATGCATACTCATATGCTTGAACACACACTCTTCTCACATACACAGACACACACATACACTGTTGAATACACATTCCTTCATACACAATACATACACAACACTTAACCAAAAATGTAATTTTCCAAAGCTTTCAGAGAATGTGCATGACACATACAAACACCTCTCTTCTTGTTCAAGTCTGCATATCTCACAAACATGTATACTATACATCTTCAGCTACACAAATGTATACACTATGTACCATCAGTTATATGTTGCACAGAGACTCTCCTAGCAGCACTATATAAAGCCCAGACACATACCCACACAAAGCTACACTACACACAAGCACACATTCTTATTCTTTGCATGTTTACAAGGCATAAGGCAACAGCCTCCCAACACACAGCACAACCAAGTCTACTTAGCCCTCACTGGCTGTCCTTCTAAGCATCTATTCACCATGCTTTGACTGTTGTAGAGCTCAAATCTCTGTGAATCAAGGTGCATGCATATAGGGGAGCATTCCACTTACCTGGACCACAACCACTTGGATGGAAACATGGTCTGGGAGTCGGATTGGTGCCCGGAAATACTGAGACAGAGCGACCAGCAGGTGGAGGATGGCAACCAGGCTCTTGGCATGTACAGCTGAAATGCAAGATTAGAGAGTCTTTCTCCAGGTTCTAGGCAAGATCTACTGAGGTTACAGTGGTACCCCTCTTCAGTGTCCCCTTCTTGCACCCTAAGCATCAGGGAATTCCCCCAGTCACCATCTGTTCTCCCCAACCTTAACCCTCTCAATTTAGGGCCATGCCCCATGGGTTCCTTCTTGGACACTATGATTGGTAGATTTCCAACATGGTATCTCTACTCCCACTTGAGGTTCCCCATGAGGACTTCGGCACCGAGTGAGCCTGGAGCTCACATCAGCTCTTCTTGCCCTGTTCTCATCTACACCTTCTCCCTCCCCACCAGACAGGGAATACTGGATTGCTGCCTCTTCCCCTGTCCAGTCTGTTCACAAACTCTTCTTTAATCAAGAGAAACACCAAGTCAGGAAAAAGCCCCGGGTCTCTTCCTCTGTCTAGGGCCAACCTCCCTAGAAGAAGGCACGAGAACCACTCAGAAAGGTTGGCTGCTGGTGCCTGATGAGGTGGGTGGAGTCAGTATCCCCAGGCAAACTCAAGTGTCTTCCATAGGTGCTAACCTTTGCCCATACTAAACCACTTATGCTGCTGAAGGCTAGGCCCTGCTGGCCGCAGCTTTCTCAGTAGATGGGATAAAGACTGACTTACACAAGGCTCATGGAGTCAGGCAGACTAGAAATTGAATGTGACTTTGTTCCCCTGCTACCTGTTTACTGATTATGGCTTTGGGTAGGGGCCACTCTGGCCACTGAGCCTTAAGCTCTTCATCTCCTCAAACAAGGATGGCAGTCCCAGGTGGACATACACACTGTGAAGACTTCCAAAGCTAACAAGGGTAGACAGAGCCCCTGGAACGCTGCAGGTGGCCAGGAATGACTGGTATGCTTTATTATAACTTATGAGAAAGTACCTGGCACGGAGGCAATCAGGGCATGCCAACCCTCTCTCTTCCTGTCTCATAAAGGGCAGACCCATCAGGCTCTTTGCCTGCCTGTGCGGTCCTACTAGCTTTGGGCTCTTCACTACAGGGACATTTAAGGGAGAATCCAGAGTAGCACATGTCTATGTCACCTGCATTGGGCTTATTATCAGGGTGTCATTTGTCTTCCCCAGATTTAAAAAAAATAAAATAAAATCTACTTTAGAAGCTTGGAGAAGCCACCAAGAAAAGAAATGATTCAGACGGTCCTTCAGCATCATTAGCACTGTTCCTTATCATGGCTGTTCCTTATCCTGGCAGTGCTTCCTAATGGCCAGCAGTGGCTCAACGTGACACCGAGCAGCAGGCCCGTCTTCCGGAAAATTCATTTCTGGAAAACACTGTCCACTGACTCTGACCTACAGTGACAACCTACAAAACAACTCCTGGTTGGGACTGGACCCCTGACATGGCACTATCACAGAAGCACAGAGTCACATCAGGGTTTGCTTTCCCAGCCAGGATTGTTATGTCACCCCCAGGTTGGACTGTGGGGGCTGTAAGCACACTTTAGGCTCTCCTGCTTTTAATGACAAACTTGATGTTGGAAAAGTTCAGGTCAGTCAAGTCCTGCTTGGTGTCACTGTACATCATCTTGGCAAGTGACATCAAAGGCATCAGACAGATGTCAGACCCTTTCAATAAATGCTCTGTCCTCCAGGGAATTCTTTTCAAAAGAAATAACCCTATTATAGTCACACAGAGAACGTGGACCAAGATGCCAGCCTGTGCCATACATCATCATCAAAAGCAAAGCCCTGGGACACACTCACATCCCGGAGGAAGAGGATGGCCAGATTCGGGGCTTCCAAACTTGTTTGTGTTATTGAGAGACAACAAAACCATATAGTTCTTATCATGCAGTTCTGCTGGGTCCAGAACTTAATGTGTAGCCCAACCTGACCCTGAACTTGTGACCCTACTGTTTTAGGCTCCTGAAGTTTGTTTGTTTTTCTGGAACCCATTTTAATTTTTTTTCTTAATTGAATGGGGGGCATACATGTGCCATGACATGTATGTGGAGGTCAGAGGGCAACTTTTGGAAGTTGAATGTGACCTTCCACCATGTGGTGGGTTCTGGGGATTTAACTCAGGTTGTCAAGTTTGGTGGCAAACGCCTTTGCCCGTTGAGCAATTTCACTGGCCCCTGAAGGTTATTTTTTATTTTTACCTCTGCCTTCTTTCTCCCTCCTAAGCAGAGAAACCCTATGTTTTAAAAGCCAATGCAGAACTCATGAGAGGAAGATCATGGTGAGGGTTTTCGAGTCTTAACTGCAACCCACCCATTTCTGCTTTTCTGCCAGTTGTGTCTAAGTTTCTCCTTGTAATCCTGAGGCTGGACCAAGCATATGCATCAACCCCATCATCAATCACAGCCTTCCAAAGTTATGGTAGAGCCACATAACAGAACTCTTGCATGTACAGAAAACCACAGTCAAGACAATGTCACCGAAATATTAACATTGCTAAAGGAAAATTCCACAGAAACAAGTCAAGAACATGAGCCATGTACATCTTCATGCATGTATATACAGGTGTATATACACACATGCCTGTGTACAAACATGAACTTGTGATCAGCACTTGAAAAGGAACATAAAACCATTCTGAGTAATGTGATGAAATCCTGAGCTGTATCACCCTGTCCTTCTCAAGACTTGGACTATTCCTTGTCCAGTGTATCCACACCGTGGATGCTATTCCTCTGCCAGTCACCTGGTGCTCATATCAGGTGTCAGGCTGCCTCAGTATTACAGTGACCGTGTTATTTGACTTAATGATGGCCCCAGGGCATGAGGGCAGTGAGGCTGGCAATGGGGATATGCTGAAATGAAGGTATGAAGGGCTGCCTTTAAGAAAAAAGGGAGAGGTTTCAATAATAGAGAACAACCAGATCTACAGTAAGAATGAATATTTGACATAATTATGAAAAAAAGAATATTCATGCTAGTTTTTTTAAAAATTAGATTTATTGATTTCATGTACATAAGTGTTTTGCCTGTATGCATGTCTGTGTACCATGTGTGTGCCTGGTGTCTACAGGGACAGCGGAGGGGATCTACTGTTACTGGACTTACAGATGGTTGTGAGCTGCCATGTGGGTGCTGGGAACTGAACCTAGTCTTCTGAAAGAGCAGCCAGTGTTCTTAGCTGCTGAGCCACCTCTCCAGCCCTCCATGGTGGTTTTGTTGTCACACCTTAAGGCACAGCAGTGATGGTCATTGTGTATGATAAATGTGTTGCTAGATCGATGGAAAAGGCACTAATGGCAGAAACACAAAACTAACCCGTAGACCAATAGGAGAGAGCAGATACCAGGAAATAAACCCACATGGCTACAGCCACCTGATTTCCAAGAGGGATGTAAGAAACAGACACTGGAGAAAAAAAAAATGGCCTCTTTAACTAATGGTGCTGGGAAAAACAGACATCTACATGTAAAAGGATAAAACTAGATCTGTATCTCTCACTCTGAGTAACAATCAATTTAAAATGGATCAAAGATCCTAATGTGGGACCTGATAACTTAAAGCTCCTAGAAGACAACCTAAGTAAAAGACAGAGACAAGGACTTCCCACAAGAGCCACAAGGCTCAGGAAATAACCCCGTGAACTGAAAAATGAGACTGTATGAGATTAAAAAGCTTCTGCACAGCAGAGGAAATCACCCACCAGTGAGGAAACAGCCTACAGAACAAGAGACAACCTGCCAGCTGCCACCCAGATCCACAATAAAGAACTTAAAAAAATTTAAACATCATTCTATCCCCTAAATCATCCAATCAAAAATGGGCAAATTACTGAAAAGACATTTCTCAAGAGAGCTAGGAATGGTCACTATACATCTGAAATGGTGCTCAACATCCTTAGACTCAGGGCAATGCAAATTGAAAGTACTGTGAGAGTCCAGCTCACCCCAGTCGAATGACTACCACCAGGGGAACAAGTACCAACAGACCCCGGTGGGGACACAGGAGTGAGGAGCCCTCTTTCACACTGGTGGGGCCACTAAGGAATCAGCACCCCGGATCCTCGAGAAACTAAAAATACAACTACCATATGTGCCTGCTAGATCGCTCCTGCTGTACCTCAAAACACTCTAAGTCAACATGCCACAGGGATGCTTGCACACCCATGTTTACTGCTGCACTACTCCCAATAGCCAGGAAACAGGACCAGGCTAGCTCTCCATCAGCAGATGGATGGATACAGTATATGTACACAATGGTACAATTCAATTCAGCTATGAAGAAAAATGAAGTTATGACATTTGTAGGCAAATGGATGCAACTGGAAATCATTAAGTGAAACAAGTCATGGCTCTTTTTTCTTTTCTTTTTTCTTTCTTTCTTTTTTTTTTTTTTGTGTGTGTGCATGCCCTTGTGTGAGGTGGGGAAGAGAAGGAGGAGGAAGGGGGGAAGAGGAGGAGGAAGGACAGAGGAAAAGGAGGGCATGGGCGAATTCTAGGACAGCCAGGACTGTTACACAGAGAAACCCTGTCTCAAAAAAACAACCCCCCACAAAAGAGGGAATGGGAGACATGTGACATGAAAACAGAATAAGGAACTATTTGGGGTGAGGAATGAGATCATCAAGAGAGGGGCAGGAAGGTGGGAGAGAGCAGTGGGAGAGGAGGATGAATTAGAACAAGTATAGTGACACATAGGTATGGAAATGGCACAGTGTAACCCAGTACTTTGCATGCTAACTTAAAATACAAAAAGATGGAAACGCTATTCCATTTGTGTGTCTATGCACATGGACATGTAATGTCTGGAACTACCCATGGTGCAGGCATTGCCTGGAGTGTTGAAAGACACCGCCTTTAGATACTGGGAGATTACTGTCTATAAATGCATAGTTGTGTATTCATGTATGAATAAATAAAAAGCATAGTCTGTACCTTCTTTATTACACCATACCCTCTTTATTACAACACACACACACACACACACACACACACACACACACACACACACACATGCACACCTTGCAGTAATAACTCCAAACATTTCAGGGCCCATCTGTGGGTCGGCAGCTTATGGAGGCTGTGTGGACAGGCTCAGTACAGTCTGGCTCCACAGCAGGCTCTCTGGAACAGATTCCCACCTCTGTTATTCATCACTCTGTAACCAGGACCGTGGTGCTCCTTCAGCAAACATTAGGGGGCATGAAGTGCACCAGTTACGTTTCCTGATTCTCGGGAAATGATAGTGAAGAAGCTAGAATGCCTGACCCTGGGATGGCAATGTTCACAGTGTCATAATTCTTCTGTGCCTTGATTTTCCCATCCGTGAAATGAGGGTGCTGAAAAGGATTGCCTGAGGTAGGCGAGTGAGCAATGCAAAAATTAAAATAAACATTAATATTTAAATGTGTTTATATATACTGGCATTTTCTAAATTTTCAATAATAAAAAATTCGGTTTGTGAACAGAAAAGAAAGAAATCCCTAAAGTTCTAGGTCAAAGACCTTGGTAACTCAGCAGCCTGTCCCTGCCACCCTTGTCCTGAGCATAAAGGAGACACAGTGTCCCAAAATGCAGACAGGGCTGATTACAGAGAAAGGAGAGACTTCTCCCTGTGAGTTGTGCCTGCTCTGTTCCTTCTAGAACACACTGCTTCTTCTTGTCAACAAGCTCCAGCTCTTCTTGATGCCCGGAGGCATCACAGGGAGCAGCCAAGAGGATAATTATCCCTTCTGACCCACTAATCCATCTCCATTCTGGAGATCTAGCCAGGAAGAGTAATTCATAAGAGGTAAACAGAGAGACAGCGAAGACATCCAACTAAAGCCATCTGATATTAGCAAGCGGGGACTGTGTGTGTGTGTGTGTGTGTGTGTGTGTGTGTGTGTGTGTG